AACACAGCCACCTTCAAGTTCCCCTCCAAGCCACTCACCATTCCTGGCTTGGAAATATATCACCATTCCTTCACTGTCACTGGGTCAAAAGTCTGCAATTCCCTCCCTCATGGCATTATGGGTCAACCAACAGCAGGTGGACTGCAGCGGTTATAGAAGGCAGCAACTTCAAGGGCAACTAGGTACAGGCAATAAATGCTGGCCAGCCAGCGCATCCATATGCTGCAAAAAAATGAATAAAGAAAACGAGACCAAAACTGCACACAATATTCCAGGTGTGACCTCACCATTACCCTGTATAATTGTAGCAAGGCATCCTTGTTCCTGTACTGGAATCCTCTTGCTATGAAGACCAACATACAGTTTTACTGTCTTTACGGTCTGCTCCACCTGTGTACTTGCTTTCAGCAACAGGTGCATAAGGACACCCAGGTCTCACTGAATGTTTAGATCTCAAAATTTACAGCCGTTCAAATAATAACCTGCCTTCCTATTTTTACTTCTAAAATGGATTACCTCGCCTTTATCCATATTAAACTGCAGTTGCCATGCATTTACCCACTCACTCAGCCTATCCAAATCACATTGTAAAATCTCTGCATCCTCCTCACAGCCCACTTTTCCATCCAGCTTTGTGACAACTGCAAATTTTGAGCTATTACATTTAGTTCCTCTTAAAGTTTTTGAGAAGATTTGTAGCTCGGGTTGTGGATGAGGTTGTAGACTTGCTCGCCAAACCGTTTGATTGCAGACATTTTGTCACCCTGCTAGGTAACATCGTCAATGCGCCTCCGGTGAAGCATTGGTGTTCTGTCCCACTTGTTATTTATTTATATGTCTCGGTTTGCTGGGGTGGTTGGCATCACTTCTAGTTCTGTTTTTCAGTGGTTTGCATATAGGGTCCAGTTCAATGTGTTTGTTGATGGAATCCCGGTTGGAATGCCAGGCCTCCAAGAATTCTCTGGCATGTTTCAGTTTGTGGGCGCCTTATCTCGGTAGCCACATGCAATAAATCTTAAATAATTGCTTCAGTATTTGATAGTCTGAGAGATTTCTTTATAAGTAGCTGAATTAAAGGTAGGTATGGTAACTTACCTACAACACCCACTAGTCACTGCCTGCCATTCAGAAAAAGGCCCATTTAATTCCTACTCCCCATTTCCTATCTGGGAACCAATTTTCTGTCCACCTCAACATACTACCCCCCCAATCCCACATGCTTTCATTTTACACATTGATCTCTTACGTAGGATTTTGTCAAAAGCCTTCTGAAAGTCCAAATAAACTGCATCCACTGGCTCCCCTCATCAACTGTACCAGTTACATCCTTGAAGAATTCCAGCAGGTTTGTCAAGCATGATTTCCCTGTCTAGTGACTGTCCACTATTGTAACTAAATTACAAAATAATGCTTATTGTGTCTCAATGTTTCTTGCAGCCCACATCTAGTTTTAATGTACACAGTCACAGAGTCATATAGCGCATAAAAGGCCCTTCCACCTGTTGAGTCTACACTGTCAATGGCTGTCACTAAATGGACGTAAACCCAATTTCCTGCACTTCACCATATCCATGAATGTTATGATATTTCAAGTGCCCACCCAAATACTTTTTAAAGGTTATACAATTTCTGGCCTGTAATAACCCTCCATGCAGCGCATTCCAGATTCCCGTCACTTCTGAATGAAAAAGTTTTTTTCTCAAATCCTCTGTGAATCTCCTGGCCTTACCCCAAAACTATGTCCCGTCTTGACTGACCCTTCAACCTAGGGAAACAGCTGCTCCCAATTCACTCTAACCATACCTTCAATCTTATACACCTCAGTCATGTCCCTGCTTAGCCTTCGCTGCTCTAAAGAAAACAATCCAAGCCTGTCTAGTGTCTCCTTATAGCTCAATTGCTCCATCCCACGCAACATCCTCCTGAATCTTCTTTGTCCCCATCTAGTGCTATCACATCCTTCCTGTAGGGAGGTGATCAGAACTGCACTCAGCACTCTAGCTATGGTATAACCAATGCTCTATACAACTTCAACATTACCTCCTTGTTCTTACTCTATGCCACAACTGATGAAAGGACATGTCCCAAATACCTTTACTATCCTATTCAGATGCTCTGCTGACTGCATGGATCTGTGAATATTTCCCCTAAGATCCCGCTGTTCCTCTGAGCTACCCATTGTCCTGCACTATTAATACTCCCTCGCCTTGTTTCTTCTAGCAAAGTGCTTGCACTTGTCATGTTTAAATACCATCTGCCACTTCTCTGCCATCTGACCAACACATCTATATCTTCCTGTAACCTACAACCATCTTCACTATTAACCACCCTACCAATCTTGGTACTATCTGCAAACTCGCTTAACATTCCCCCCACATTTTTATCTGTATCATTTTATGTAATGACAACAATAAGGATCCCGCTTCTAATCCTTGTGGTACTGATCCTTGTGGTCCTGGACACCAGTCTCCAGTCACTCAAAGAGCCTTCCATCACTGCCCTTAGTGACCTATTACCAAGTCAGTTTCTGATCCATCTTGCCACGCTTCCCTTGTGGTACCTTGTCAAAAGCTTTCCTAAAATCCACATAAACTACATCAACTGAATTTCTTCATCCACACATTTGATCACATTTTCAAAAAATTCCAACAAGTTTGTTAGGCATGACCTCCCTCTCACAAAGTCACGCTGACCATCCCTAATTAACCCATGCTTTTCCGAGTGGACATTAATTCTCTCCTTCAGAATTTTCTCCAAGAGTTTCCCTACCACTGACGTGAGGCTCATCGGTCTGTAATTTCCTGGTTCATCTCTACCACCTTTCTTGATAAATGGAACCACATTAGCTATGCTCTAGTGGCCAGAAAGGAGTTAAAACTTTGTGTCAGAGCCCCTGCAATCTCCTACCTCGCCTCCCACAGCATCCAGGGACGCAATTCATCCAGGCCAGGGATTTGTCCGTTTTAAGCCTGTCAGAGCCTCCAATACTTCCCCATTTCCTATGTCAAACTGTGCAAGTTACTCACAGTAGCCTTTTCCTGAAGTCTGTACCTACATTCTCCTTTTCCTGAATGAAGATCTAAAAGTAGTATTCATACAACACCCTTCCAATGTCCTACAGCTTTACAGACTGTAAAGCTCCACACAGATTAGCTCCACACAGTAGTTTAACCTGACAGTCACCACACCCCAGGCAAAGGGCAAGGTTGAGAAGTTGGGACTATCATAGTCATCTCAGTTGGTATGGGAATTGAACCCATGTTGTTGCCATCACTCAGAACTGCAAACCAGCTGTTCAACCAACTATGAGCCAACCAACCCAACTGAGGGAGTTCTGCCTTACAGATGATACTTAAGCTCTGTCTGCCTTGAGGCTGTAGACTTGCTCGCCGAGCCGGTGTATTCGATTGCGGCTGTTTCGTCACCATGCTAATTAACATAGTCAGTGTGCCTCCGGTGAAGCATTGGTATTCTGTCCCGCTTGTTATTTACATGCCTCGGTTTGCTGGGGTGGTTGGCATCACTTCCGGTTTGGTTTTTCAGTGGTTTGTATATCAGGACCAGTTCCGGTTGGAATGCCAGGCCTCCAGGAATTAAAACCAAAGTTGCTGGAAAAGCTCAGCAGGTCTGGCAGCATCTGTGAAGGAGAAAATAGAGTTAACGTCTCGGGTCCGGTGACCCTTCCTCAGAACTCCACGAATTTCCTGGTATGTCTCTGTTTGGCTTGTGCTATTATGGATGTGTTGGCCCAGTCAAATTCGTGTCCTTCTTTGTCCGTGTGTATTGAGACCAGTGAGAATTGGTCGTGTCTCTTGGTGACTAGTTGGTGTTTGTGTATTCTTATTGTCAGTTTTCTTCCAGTTTGGCCTACGTAATGTTTCTCAGTCCTTGCATCGTGTTTTGTCCCACTCAAACTCCTAGATATCAGAGTAGCCCACAAACCACCAACCACTCTGCGACAGCTACTGACGAACGTAAAGGATCCCATACCCACAACCAGTAAAACGAACGTAATGTAGGCCACAACAAAAAAAACTGCATCCAGTTCTGGTCACCCCACCCAACAAAAGATCTCTATTCCTGCATGGAAAATGAGCATTACTAGCAAGATTACCATTTATCATGCATTTTTATTTGCCATTAAACTGAATGGTTTGCACAGCCATTTCAGAGGGCAATTTAGAGTCAACCACATTGCTAGAGGTCTGGAGTTACACATAGGCCAGATGACGCAAGGATGGCATATTTATTTCTGCTGATGTCATCAGTGAACCAAATGGGATTCTGCAACAACCAATGACAGTTTCAATGGCAACATTACAGAGACCGGCTTTCAATTCCAGATGTACAGATACAGATGAATTTAAATTCTTAACTCACGTCTCCAGAGCATTAGACTGGGACTCTGGTTTACAAATCCAATGACATTTCCACTAACTCACTGCCTTCCTTGAGTTTTTGAGAGCTTGCAGAGGCGACTTACAAGATTGAGGGAATTTAACTAATTTAGGTTGGAGAACGACCTTGTTTTCCTAAAAGCAGAGAAGTTCGAGGGGAGATTTGATTGAGGTGCTGATACACAGATTTTGATAAAGTAAACACAAAAGCTTTCATTACCTGATGGTGCAAGAGCTAAAAGGGGGTCTGATTTATGAGCAAAAAATATACTGGAAATGTGAATAGTTTTTTTACAGTGCAAGTACCTGAAACACGCTGTCTGTGAGGGTGGAAGAAGCGAAGACGATTAACGGTTTCCAAAAGGAAACTGGATGGGAAGATGGGATTGAGGGAAATAAACTTGCAGGCTATTGGGATAGTGCACAGGAATGTACATGATTAGCTTACAAATAGTAAATACACTTCAAAAGTACTCAATTAGATATTAAGTGCTTTGTTATGTCCTAAGCACATGACAGGGTCAGTATAAATGGAAATAATTATCTTCTTTCTTTCTTTGCATACAACCTTCACGTTATTTGCCACCCAATTACCACACATACCTGCGGTCAAAACCTGACCTAAAATTACTTCAGACACATCCTCTGGTTTGATGTTTCCTCTCTTCAGGACTTCTTTTATCACCACCGAAGCTAGTTGATGTGCAGCCAGGCCAGATAAACTGCCATTGAAGGAACCTACATAGACAAGTAAATTATACCAATATTTACTAAAATGCCACAAGTTATATAATGCAGAAACATTAATTAATTTGCAGTTCATTAATTTGTTGTTTCATGTTTGTTCGAATAATAACTTTCCAGAGGTTCGCAGGAGTCAAAATCAGCCAGAGAAATTGGAAAAGACGTGACTGTTCTCTTTCAGACCAAAGTGGATTGAAGGGAGATTTGATAGGAAGATAGAAGGTTATGACAGATTTGGATAAGTAGACATGGAAAAATTGGACTCATAGTACAAAGATCAGGGACCACAGATTTATGGTTATGGACAAGAGATGCAGTGATAATATGAGGAAAAAAAACTTGTTTGTACAGTAAGTGGTAATGAATTAGAACTCTTTGCCATGTGTGTGGTGAAAGTGGAAATAATGTTTTCAAAAGGAAATTAGATAGATGGAAATTAGAAGGTATTACATAGAGTCATAGAATCATACAGCACACACCCTGCTGTCCAACCGTTCCATGCCAAACATAATCCTAAACTAAACTAGTCCCACTTGCCTGCTCTTGGCCCATATCCCTGCAAACCTTTCCTTTTCATGTACTTATCCAAAAGTCTTTTAAAATGGTGTAACTGTGCTCACATCCACCAGTTCCTCAGGAAGTTCATTCTACGTGCGAACCACCCTGGGTAAAAAATTTGCTCCTTGTATCTTTTTTTTTTAAATCTCTCTACTCTCACCTTAAAAATATGTACCCTGGACTTGAAATCCCCCATCCTGGGGAAAAGACACCTACCATTAACCACATCTATACCCCTCATGATTTTATAAACCTCAAGGTCACCTCTCAACCTCCTACGCTCTAGTGAAAAAAGTCCCCAGCCTATGCAGGAGTATGAGGATTGATTTTTTAATTGTAAAAATATACCTCATTCAAAAAAAAATCCACAAGTACAAACAAAAAGGTCCTCTCATTCTGTTCTGTATAATCTTGCCAATGAGGAAAAAGAAACATGAATGCTACATTAGAATTTTACATCACACAGAGCTACTGTCCAGTTGCGAATAACAAGGACGTTTTAACTCATGCAGAAAGAAAGTACTTACATTTTGAGGCAAGGGGTCTGACACCTGAACTGACTCCCATTATACATTGGCAGAAAGATCTTAGATGATGGTCTTTTCCCACTGCATCTTGGCAGCAGCTGCCCCAAGCTTTACTGCGTCCCTCAGCACGTGATCCTGGACCTTGGAGTCTGCAACATTCAGTTGAGGACAAGTCTTTACACTGGAAGGTCAACTAGTTTAAGGAACACCAAAGGAGCATCTTTCACCGAGTTGTTGGTTTTCCAGGCACTATCAATGTTTGTCTTGGTATGCGTCCCAGGAAACAGTCCATAGAGTACAAAGTCCTGTGTCACAGAGCTGCTTGAAATCAAAGCCAACACATCTCTCTTCAGAGATAGCAAGAACTGCAGATGCTGGAGTCAGAGATAACAAAACGTGGAGCTGGAGGAACACGGAAAGCCAGACAGCATCAGAGGAACAGGAATGCTGACGTTTCGGGTCGGGACACTTCGTTCTCCAGACCTTCTTTGCAAAGGTCTGAATTACAGAATGTGGTGCATGACAGTTTCCACCCTCCACCTGCAGCCGCCTCAAGGGCAACGTGAAGTAGCAGACAGAGTTCGGGCATACATGAAGGATTTGATGGGTACTGCCCTTCTCACCACCAAGCAAACTGTGCCTTGGTGCTTGTGGGAAAGTTCTGGCAATGAGGTGTTCTGCCACATGACCTTGACAGTCTGTTGAGGAAACTACTTGACAGAATTAACCCTCTCCTTTTCCTGCAGGGTCACAAGGACACTGCCTGATAGACTCGTGGTCAAAGGCGTTTTCTTTTCAAATTTCTCTACGAGGGAGCGGTTGTAATGCAACAGTCTGGCCACTTGGAGCATTCTGCAGCAAGAGAGCCAAGCCCACCCTGGTCCTCGGGGACAGGTAGAACCTCAGTACATCGTGACACTTGACTTTTGCGGCAAAGATGGCAGCAGAGTAAGATGCTCCAGTCGGAGCTCCTCTGCTCACCAGTTACTTCTCTTTTCTCTTTATTTTTTCCCTTTGCAGCAGTTTTTCTTCCCACCTCCCTGTCCCACCAACTTCTCAAACTACCTTACCCTACCTGGAGAATGGAGGTGAGATGAAGGAAGAAGAGTTGCAGCTGGAGCCCAGGTGGGAGCAGAGCTTGTGGGTCGAGTCCTGGAGCAGGTTGAAGAGCAAGTCACGGCTGAAGCCTGGGCCAAGTCCCAGGGCGACAGCAGAGTGAGCAAGGGCCGACTCACGGCCAAGTCCTGGAGCAGGAAGAGAGCGAGCATGGGCCAAGTCGCGGCTGAGTCCTGAAGCGGAAGCAGAACGAGTCCTGGACGGAGGCCAGCACGTAGAGGCAGCATGGCCTACCTGAAACCCAGCAGGCACGGGCTCATGTTGGAAAACGACTATGAGGACTATAACTCGAGTACTTTATAGACACTACTTCTTCTCATTCTGGACGTTTAAACTCTGTATTCCTACACTAATCTATTTTTTATTATTTCAATTCTGTGAAATACTTAAAGTACCCTGTACCTCAGCTGGTGCCGAGAGGCGACATTACAAACTTTTCATTGCGCTCATTTGAGTGCACCTGACAATAAAGGCTATTCCATTCCTTGCATATGAGGATCTGTTTGATGCAGCCACACAAGGAGGTGGCTCTCAGGATAAGGGTGGTTTTGGGTACATTCCACATCCCCGCCACCCTTATCCAGAGCTTTGTACATTGAGTCCCTGCAGACACAGTCCACCTTTGACCTCTTATTGAAGTGGAAAATAGCTTGAGTGAATGCAGTGGCACAAGCTCAAGGAAAGGGCCAGACCTGCGCCACACACAGCAATGCAGAGTACTTCACACCTGATGAATAGGTTTTTACCCAATGGAGATGGAGTGACGCTCCCTCTGCCCTGTTTCTGCCTCACCTTGGCAATACGCTTCTCCCACGTTTTAGATTTGCAAATGCCACCTCCCAGAAAAGTGTACAGTCACACATCTTTAGCAGATCCTGACCAATCAAATCCCACAGAGCTGAATACAACTTGGCCAATAAGCCGTTACTTCCGGGAGCTTTACTCTTTTCAAAGGACCATCATCTCCAACATGCTGTTGCCTAAGACCTCCATTACAAAGGACAGTAACGGCTGGACGCCGCACTGTCTGTGGGCTTCGTGTCATAGAGTCTGGCAAATATGGATTCGCTGATCCTCAAAATGTCAGACTGAGATAATGTTACCGAGCCATCTTCATCTTTCAGGTTGCTGATACAGAGTTCTTCCTCTGCACCTTGTTGAAGAAGAAATGCAAGAAACTCCTCCTGGAGATCCTTCTTCACATTCCCTCCACACCCTTCCACCTCCATCATCTACAGCAGGAGTAGGTTATGCATGCTTTGCTGGAATTTGGCCAGTTTTCCCTGTCTCTTTCACAGCTTTTCAACACCTTTGAGGATGAAGAAGAACCTCTTGACGTTTCTCTTGACTGTTTCCCACCAGTCTGCTGGAGACTCAAAAGAGGGGTTTCACGGTTCTCCAACCTATGTAATTCCCTTCTGAGTTCCTCAATGTGTTCTGGGGTCAACAGTGGATTGCTCTAAGAAGCGTTGGCATGGACATGGTGCACCAAGTGACCTCCTTCTGTGTAAAACTGACTCCATGACTCAATGCATAAATTTCTTTATGAGGTGACAATATGCCAATTCTTTGGGACAATGTATACAGTTAATAGGAGTCAAAATGAGTTCTGAAGAAGTACAGATGTCTAAGATGGAAGTTCCAAGAGACAAGAAGGAGCTGAGAAGTTCACTTTGCTTGATCCAGTACATGAGTTCTCTCATAATTCTTATCAAAACACAGAAAACATCCATTTCGTACCAATGGTCAGGGTCACAGAAGAGAAATTACAGTAAACTCAAAGTAGCAGGATGCAAAGTAGCACTAGGCTGTTACATCACAACAGAAGGAAACCTGTCAGTGTAAAAGTTGATACTTCTTGGCTGCAAGTGGCTCTGACACAAGAAGGTAAAATCATAGAATCCCTACAGCATGGAAACAGGCCATTCGGCCCAACAAGTCCACACCACCCCTCCGAAGAGCATCCCACCCAGACCCATTCCCCTACCCCTGATTTCCCTATGTCTAACCCACCTAACCTAAACATCCCTGAACACTATGGGCAATTTAGCATGGCCAATCCACCTAGCCTGCACATATTTGGACTGTGGGAGGAAAGTGCAGCACCTGGAGGAAACCCATGCAGACACGGAGAGAATGTGCAAACTCCACACAGACAGTCGCCCGAGGCTGGAATCGAACCTAGGTCCCTGATGCTGTGAGGCAGCAGTGCTAATCACTGAGCCACCGTGCCACCCAAATCAATATGCAGTATTTGCTGACACTGGAACTGCAGATAACTGCGTATGGTTGCTTACTCTGAAACGCGCAGGAACACAGTTACAAAACCTGAATGCTATTGCGTCTTGTGCAAAGTCTGTGCTGCACATGTGCAAAACAGGTGCAACACTGAAACTAGAATAAAACAAAGAACTGCAGATGCTTGAGATCTGAATTAAAAACAGAAATTGGTGGAGAAACTCAGAAGGTCTGGCTGCATCTGTGGGAAGTAAACAAGACTTAATGTTTCAAGTCCGGTGACCCTTCATCAGAATTAAAACAGGAATAGGATAGAGATCAGGCCAAAGCAGAATGGATGGGCTGAGGATGGGGAGCAGAATGGGAGGGCTGGGGAGGTGGGAAGAGAGGAGAACGAATGGGGCTGGTGGGGGTGTGAAGAGGTGAACAGGTGGGGCTACTGGCGTGGGAAGAGAACGGGCAAGGCTGGGGATGCGAAGGGGAGAACAGTCGGGGTGGTGGGCTTAGATAAAATGGATGTTTTCTCCCCCCTACTCCGACCATCCTAACGGATGG